TATGCTAATTTTAGTTTTTCAGCTAATTCCACATTTTTTGCACTCATTTCAACTTTTTCAAAATAATTCAGCAACAATGTGTTCTCAACTTCCTTCTTGTAATTCTGCTTCTTTCTGCCTTTTTAGCAACTTTTCAGGTGTTTTTTGCTCATTTCATCTTTTTTAGATAATTTTCACTTTTTTGTGCACATTTTTGCTTCTTTCAGCCTAAAAGGGCAAACATGTGTTCTTTTTGCTTTCTTCTGCTAATTTAAGCTCATTCTACCTTTTTAGATAATTTCAGCCTAATTAACTTCTTTCTGTTAATTTCAACTTGTTATGCTCCTTTCAGTTCATTTTTGCTAGTTTCAGTTTTTTTCTGCTAATTCAGCTACTGTTGAGCTGTTTTGTGCTAAATTTAGCTTTTTCAGCTGATTCCACATTTTTAGCTTATTTCATTGCCTTCCACTTCCTTCTGGTAGTTTAAACTTCTTTCTGCCTTTTCAGCTAGTTTTCAGCTATTTGTTGTTGTTGTTGCTAATTCCAGCTTTTTTAAGCTAATTTCTTAATTTTGATGCTCATTTCTGCTTATTTAAACCCAGTGCAGCAAATAAGTGTTCTTTCTGCTTCCTTCTGCTAACTTATGCTTGTTCTTCCATGTCAGCTGTATTTCAGCATGTTTTTAGCCAATTTCAGCTGTTTTTCAGCAAGTTCTTCTGCAATAAGCATTCACATTGCATTTTTGCAGGAAATGCAATTTATCTAGTTCTTTTTAGAAGACGCGTGATGTGTTGTCATCATTGTATGTTCTCATACAATGGCGAAATTAATTCTCTGCATTTAACCTATCGCACCTGGGATATGCCCAGGTGGAGCAGTGGGCAGCTATGCAAGTGCCTGGTGAGCAATTAGGGATTAGGTGTCTTGCTCAGAGACACCACGACATGTGGGAATGGCTGGGGATCAAACCTGGGACATTTGGGTCCAGAGTCGGCTGCCCTGCCTCTACCTCATCTCTCTAAGCGTCACCCCCAACACATACTCCCAAACACTCCAAATTGCACAAGTTGTGCCTAAAATTTTGGCAGCAACTTTTGGTCACCCCTGTCTGTTAGCAAAATATCTCATGAACTACTAAACAGATTAAAGAAAATTCAGAAAACATTAAATGTGCATCTACAATCACAGCTAATAGGCATTAGCCAAACAACAAAGACTTTATCTCGTTAATTGTTAAAGATATTGAGCTAGAATTTGTTGTGGTAGTAGCTGAGAGTCATCCTCAAATATACTCTGAGTCCTAAAAGATTGCATGATCTTTTTGTTGAAACCGTTGGCATGCAATAAAACGGGAGTCATGCATTCCTTTATTAAATCTCCTTTTATTTTCATGCATGCTAGTGTGATTCCCCGTCCTGAACATAGTCTTTGCTGAGTGTGCAGATGCCCGATCTGTCATGCAAGCCATGAAAGATTCACTTTCTGAAATGATTGACAATTTTTTTTTTTTTATACTTTTTCACGATATTCTAATTTTTTGAGACACACCTTTATGTGTTGGGGGATCACTCTTGGCTACTCCCAGGCTAAATGTTAGCTCAGTGTATGTAAAATGGACTGGTTATAGCCACTTGTGTGCATTCTAATATTGGCTAGCTGTGGCAGCCATCATGAATCGGGTTGACTCCAAAACGTAAAAGGCTGTAGATGTACATCTGTTTACACGAGGCTCACGCTTGTCCATTTACAGATGCTTTGAACAGAGCTGTGACTTCATGCTTTAAATGTGAAGCGTTATATTGTATGTCTGTGGCATTAAAGTTTATCACATTTATCTAATGGGGCATCTCTATACTGCGTTATCTTGTGAAAAATTAGCAAAATGTGTTGATTAAATAAAAAAATTAAAAAATGTCACCCACAGGAACTAAATCCTCCTCAGGAGCAGAAAGGTGTTTTGTGCTGCGCCGAGTCGTAACAAGATCACTCACTGCTGGACATGCTGTCTCGTTCTCCGCCTTCACACCTGTCATTATCCAGGACATGATGTTCCAGACCCAAAGGACCTGCAGACAAACGTAGAAGAGACAGGAGTCTTGAATCCACGCCGGCCATTTGTGCTGCTTTGTCTAAGAGCAAAGCCACTGAATGAAAAGGCTGGATTAGGAGAAGTGATAGGAATTGAGTCCTTAGGTGTCAGTGGACCCATGTGTGTGTGTGTGTGTGTGTATGTGGTTAGAAGGTGTTCTTCTTGTTTGCATTAATCTAAATTAGTTTGTAGGGTGATGAATAAAAACATTGATAAAACATATATATTTTTAATGTATTTCTGAATTTCAAAGCAGCATCTTGTGATTCAGGTAAACACACTCCTTCTGTTTTTAAATGCCTATAACGAGCCAAAGGGAGGTATTTATTGGAAAATAATTTAAAAGACTCTTCCTCAGTCCTCACAGGCAAGATTTTTCTAAATTTAGACCGTCGGATCAGATTCTTGTGCAAGCTATTGTGAATGTGTCATGCTGGGATGCTTTAGTGGAAGACAGATGAGTCCACAAAAACAGGTCGGTCTATTTCAGGGACCATTGTATATTTATTTATTTTTTATCTTTGAAAAACTACTAAAGTCTATCAATGTCAAGAAAGCATGAAATCACCTAATTCCACTCCCATAGCTGCTTGTTTAGCGCTTCAGGGTACAGAATAAAGTGGAAACGTATTGACTCTTTAGTCCAGCCTGTTGGTTTTTTTAGCAAGGAAGCATACTTGTGACAACGGTGATTAAAGAATGTTTGGGTCACAGTTTTGTGTGGACAAGCAGACAAATATGATGAAACGTTACGCTAGCTGACAGCTGACGCCCAAAAGTACACAGTCTGAATAAACACACAGAGGCGCTTCCTAATCACAAACTGTACAAAACTTTCTCGTGCATGTTCTTATTGGCACAGTGAGTACTAAAATAATACCATTTTATTCACAGAGCACTTAAAACAGCAACAAGGTTAAGCAAAGTGATGTACAGCAGAAACAAACGAGTAACACACAGTAAAATATACATAGATCCAAAAGGAAAAAGATATAAATAATTCATAAATAATGGCACATCGAGCTCTACGTAACTTTTTTTTGTCGTCCTGCAAATTGAAAAAATATAAACAGTTCTGCCTCGTTGACCGTCGCCTTTCATGCCAGAGTTTCATCCATCCATTATCTTTATCCGCTTCCTTCTGTTCGGGTCACGGGAGCCACTGGCGCACGTGTCCAGTCATCACTGTGCGAGAGGCGGGGGACGCCTGGACAGGTCGCAAGTCCATCACAGGGACACATAGAGACAAACAACCATCCACATTCTCACTCACACCTAGAGGCAATTTAGAGTTACCAACAGACTAACATACATGTATATGTTTTTAGTCTGTGGGAGGAAACCGAAGTACCTGGAGAAAACCCATTCATGTATGGAGAGAACATGCAAACTCCATACAGAAAGGCCCCAGGCTGGGATTTGAACCTACCATGGGATTCCTCACTGGAAGGCAACAGCTCTACCAACTGAGCCACTGTGCCACGCCCTTATGTCAGAGTTTTAAACTAAAGTCATCTTATGATAAGAAAAGGCAGCTGGCTCTCAGCTAAATCTTAGCTTAAGAGCTGTGAAACCGAACGGGTTGTTGCCAACGTTCTTTAGCTGTGGCGGCTACCTCAAACAAGCTAGCTGGTGCTAACAGTCGCTGTGCTTAAAAAATACCTATGAAATTCTATGAAAATAATAGGGTAATGCAAAATTAAAAGCAATGACAAGGTTTTTGCATGATATTTTTTAGCAGGTCACCCCGGTTCAAATACTGATTCCGGGGGGCCTTTCTGGGTGGAGTTTACATGTTCTCTCCGTGCATGTGTGGGTTTTCTCTGGGTACTCCAGTTTCCTCCCACAGACCAAAAACATGCATGTTAGATGATGGTAACTCTAAACTGTCCCTAGGTGTGAGTGAGAGAGTGAATGGTTGTTTGTCTCGTTTGTCTCTGTGATGGACTGGAGACCTGTCCAGGGTGTCCCCCACCTCTCACACAGTGACTGTTGGACATGGGCACCAGTGACCCCCGCGACCCAAAAGGAAGAAGTGGGTAAAAATAATGGATGGTTTAGTTTTTATTTAAAAAGGCAGCGATCCTCCTTGTTCTTGGCCTCACTCTGATTAGCTGCTATCCTTTCAGTTCAGTCACGATTCAACTCGATTTCTCCAAACGGAGGCTGTTCAAAGAGCCATCATAACAAGTAAGATGTCGTTCTGGATATCGAGTCTGGAAGTGGATGTAGAAATGATCCAAGCAGACATGCATCAGAACAAATTAACAGTCTTAGATGCATGACGGAAAAAAAACCAATATTTCCACCAAATGTACCATGTCCTGGCATATGTAATATAATAATAAAAAAACACCAGTTAAACCTAACAGCCATACACAAACCCAGATCCAAAACCCTTTATCCTGTCCTCCATCATTTGGATTACTAAAGCCATTACCGGTCATTACTAGCACAAAACGTTGTGCTCAATTACAAACGGCACAGTTAAAAAGGAGAACATATCGGTCGTACACCACTCTCTCCGCTCAGGTAATTGAGCTCATGGTGTCCTAGCAACAACAAAACAGGGTGAGCGAGGTCTGATAAGGACAACTGGGATTACCTAATTGTCAGTTTTCACTTTTTCTGATTAAAAATAAATGGAGCATTTAGTTTTATTTCTTTCAGAGCACTCAGCAGAACCTGAGGTAGTGCACGTGTTTGTGGCATTGGATCAATGTGGAATCACACTCAGAAATGTTTGCTGTTGTGCACACAAAACCCCTTTGGCACTTTTTTTTTTTTTTGTCCTTTCCTCTTCAGATAATTTCTGATTGGTTGGTGTAAATTCAAGTTACAGTTTGTGCTCTTTCTCCTGATTGGCTGGTGGCCCAGTGGGCAGGTGATGAGTGTGAATAAATACAGAGCGCAGCCTGACAGACTCACACTCGCATCCTCTTCCACACCTCCACCTAACGCCTCCAAATAAAAAAAGTCCTTCAGCAATAATTCATAAATAAAAGAGAAAAAAAAAGGAGGATTTGGGTGTTCGAGGAGAATAGGTCGTCATGTCTTTTGAGGTGACAGAGAAGACAGAGGTGCGTCTAGTTTTTCTGGGGGCAGGGGGCGTGGGGAAGACGGCCCTCATCCAACGCTTCCTCAAAGACACCTTTGAGCCGAAGCACCGGCGCACGGTGGAGGAGCTCCACAGGAAGGAATACGACGTGGGGGGCATCAAAGTAACCATCAGCATCATGGACACCAGTGGCAGCTATTCCTTCCCCGCCATGCGGAAGCTCTCCATCCAGAACAGCGACGCTTTCGCCCTCGTCTACGCCGTGGACGACCCCGACTCCCTCGAAGCAGTCAAGAGGCTGCGGGAAGAGATCCTGGAAGTCAAAGAGGACAAGTGCACGCCCATCGTGGTGATCGGCAACAAGATCGACCGGCAGACCGAGCGGAGGGTGTCCAGCGAGGACGTGCTGTCCACGGTGGAGATGGACTGGAACCACATCTTCTTGGAGTCTTCGGCCAAAGACAACGTCAACGTGATGGAGGCGTTCCGGGAGCTGCTGCAGCACGCCAAGCTGCCCAGCCAACTCAGTCCGGCGCTCTGCCGAAGACGGGAAACCTTTCCCAAGGAGAGCAACAGACGGCCCCCCATGAACAAGACCAACAGCTGCCTGATCTCGTAGATGGAGACAACGCTAAAGAGACTGAGAGAAAACGGTTCAAAAGAGACTGAGGTTCCTATGGACGGTAATCTGATGAGTCTGACGTTGTTAAATGTGTTCTCGTCCCCTCGGCTGTTTAACGACGACTCAGGAAGGAGGGACATGTCCTGATGGGTCAAACACAGACCCAGGGACAAGGAGGAATAAACAGAACTTGAATGTCAGAAATACTGTTTGTTTTTTTGTTTTTTATCTAGATGTTTTTGTGTAATTTATGTTCATTTCATTGTGACATGGTTTTGCAGCTCAAGTGAACAACTATAAAAAAAATAAACTGAATATTTCACACGTTTACCACGGTTGGCTTTTAAATGACACTTTTTTTTTTTCTGCTGTCAGCTTATGCCAATTTGAAAATCTCCATTATTGAGAAAATGTAGAGTTGGGCGAGCTTTGATTTACAACACAGCAAAGTTTTTTTTTTTTAAAGAAAACAGATGTACATTTAAATCAGTCTTGCTCTGAAAGTAAATCTGATGTAAAAACAAACATTTTCAACTTAAATCATGGGCATTCTTGCAGAAAAATAAAATCTCTTGCTCTAAATAACCACCATTCCTTCACATATGAACGCAGTGGCAACCATGCAAAGTGGTAATTGAGGGATAACCTTTTTAACGTATGCACTTGTCTTCAGTCGTGTCAACAGTGTTTTCACTACTTCAGAACAGCAGTGCTCAAACCAGACAAGTGAGTTTAGATTCAGGCTGCTCTGATGACCTACTCCTACAGCTCATCGTGGTCCTGCAAATGATGCAGAGCAGAAGAAGTGAAGAAAGTCCTGAGGTCACTGGGTTGCAATGCAACACACAAAATCTATTTAGACCTTCTGCTCTGCGCTGCATTGCCCTCTGGTGGTGCAGATGTTTGGGTTCTGGTGTTTGTGCAACATCTCCTGAATGTTTGCTGCAAGTCAGTGCATGCACACACATACTTATTTAAAAAAAAGTGATTAATCATGTCAAACGAAATACATTGAAGAATGGAAAAAAGCTGTGTTAGTCTTGTAATGATACACCACTCAACAATGTCCTGATGCATGCTCAATAATCCAGGGAGAAAAATCTAACAAAGTTAAATCAGGTCCTCTGGACGGATTAAAAAAAAAAAAAATGTTGAAATTTTTCGTCTTTTATCCAAAAGACTTCTTCAGTCTGAGGAGCTGCACTAAACTCAGACTTATAAATAGCCCCAGGATCAACCAGTGAGATGGTGACAGCCCAAACTAGCTGTTCACGAGATCAAGGAGGACCAGCAGAGCAGACTGATCGTTAGTGCCAATGGCTGCTTTCTACTCACTACTGAGTGATACTAGCAATAACACGGAGGCCTCCACCCAATGATGGATGAGATCTCTTCACAAAGATGGCCTCCTTTACTCCTCTCTCAAACCATCGTTCCTCTCCATCAGTGATGTGAACATCTTCATCCCTGAAAGAGTGACCTCTGACCTGGAGATGAGTGTAGACCGCAGAGTCCTGGCCTGATGATGTTGCTCTTCTGTGGTGGTCCATCCTTTTGGCCAGTGGCTGTTTAGTTTCCCAGATGTAAGACTGATCACCCTCCTGACACTGAACAACATACACAATATTACTCTGTTTGTGTCGGGGGACTGGATCCAGTTTTTGCCATAATGTATTTTGGGGTTTGACAGCCACAGGGACGTCATGCTTAGAAAATAAACGTCTCTGTTTCTCTGAATCTCCTGCAACATGTGGAATGACCACTGGTCTGGGTTCCTGCTTTTCACCTGATGGCTGGCAGGTCAAAGAGGCCGTCAGGGCACTAACGATCGGTCGTTAGGCTGATGGTCCTCCATCATGTGAACAGCAGGTTTTGGCTGTCACCAGCAAACTGGTTGATCCACTCAAGGGGCTATTTACAAGACTGAGTTTGTTGTGGCTCCTTGGACTGATGAAGTCCTTTGGATGAAGGATGAAACATCTCAACAACAACTAAAAAAATTAATCATCCAGATGACCTGACTGAACTTTGTTGGATATGAACCAGTAGATAAATCTTAATTGAACCTTTCAGAAAATGATCCCTCAATGTACATCCAAAGCAAATTAACCTTTGAAGTTAACTTTATTCAAGATGGCAACCACAGCGGAGCGAGCGTAGAAAACACAAAAACATTACTGTGCTCTTCGTGAGCGGCGTTAATGTTTCCAACATGGTTCCTCTTTCCACGGGTCTGCAGTCGAGGTGAACTGTTTCACCTGAATGAGACGAGGAAGCGACCTGTAACGATCAGATTTAGTTCCTCTTTGTGCCGTTTAAACTCCCGGCTGGAGCATCGCTTCAAAAGAACTGTGTGGCACATGACGAGAGACGCAGAAGCAGATCCTTCTTTTAAAAAAAGCTCAGGTTTGATTTTAATTTTTGTTTCATTTAGTCTCAAATTAGGTCACGAAGCTCAAAATAGTTGTGTTCTTCTTCCAGTATGAATTAATTTGCTCCAGCAGCAGCAGGAGCTGTAGTTATGAGAGGGTCTGGATCCGTCTTGTTCTTGTCTCCGATCCTAGACTTGGTCCAAGCTCCTCAGCGCTGCAGCTCTACCTGAGAAGTTTAGAGCAAGTACAGGATCTCTGAGCACCACCGCATCGAGGGTTTACATCAAACGGGTTTATATTCTGACTGTTTAATGGATCCACCAGTACATTCATATTTAAACTGTTTAGGGAGTTTTTTCTGAGCAACTTTTATCAAACGTCTGCAGCGTGTTTGAATTAAAAGCCACAAAATGGAAATGAAACAAATTCTAACTTAAAAAACATTTATTAAAAAAAAAGACAAAATGTGAAGTTTTCTGTATTAAACGATGTTTTGACCAAAAAGGATTTGAGAAATGTTTTAAATTCTGATTAGAAACTATTCATTTTCAGTTGATAGAATTCATTATTCTGTCTCACCTAACCATTTTAAATGAGTGTTGATCAACTGGTGTCCCATGGGCCACTTCAGGCCTGGGTGGTGGTGGGTGGTGGTGGTGGGGGGGGTGTTAGAGTCATAAAAACTGTGATTTGTCAGGTTTACTTTAGATTTGAAGCCTTTTTATCACATACAAAATAATCGTTCCATTTTCTTACAATCTTTTTTTTTTTTCCCCCCCAAGACATCTATTAAAAGCACACAAACATGTTTTATCAGGATCACATTGTGCAACTTTACCAACAGAATTACATTGGTTTTTTGTCAATTATCTATTAATAAAGTAAAAACATATATCTTGTTAAAAATTTGAACACTATATAACCAGCATGTTCTATTTTTTATTGGTTTACATTTTTGCTCATTACTGCATCATTCTTTTCTACATTAAACACTAGACTCTGGAGGCTCCTGAGTGATGTTTCCAGACTATCTGATATAAACCATGACTTAAAGGGATAATCTGGTGATTTTCAGTACAGTTGTTAGTAAAATCAGTATGAAGCACAAAGTATGAAGGAAAAGGCAGAGGTCTTCCTCTTAATAGTGTACGCTATTGTGATCCTGTTTATATGTATTGTCCAAATCTCTATTTTCTGTTTTATCTTTTTCAGCAAATTCCACTTTTTTTGCACTGATTTTAACATTTTTCAGCCCAATTCAGCACAAAAATGTGCTCTCTCCACTTGCTTCTGGTAATCTAAGCTTTCTGGTTTTTTAGCTACTATTCAGCTGTTTTGGGCAATATTCTGCCCTTTTTCAGATAATTACCACTTTTTGTGCTCATTTCTGCTTCTTTAAGCATATTTAGGCACAGTTGTGCTCTCTCCACTTCCTTCTAATTTAAGCTTCTTTCTGCTATAGCTACTTTTCTGATGTTTTTTTTGTGCTAATTTCAACGTTTTTCAGATAATTTCCACTTTTTTGTGCTCATTTCTGCTTCATGCCTAATTTGGCACAATTGTGCTCTCCAGTTCCTTCTAGCAATTTAAGCTTCTTTCTGCCTTTTCAGCTACTATTCAGCGGTTTGTGTGTGTGTGCACATTTCTTTTTTCAGATAATTTCCTCGTTTTTTGTGCTCATTTATGCTTCTTTAAGCATATTTAGGCACAATTATGCTCTTTCCACTTTCTTCTGCTAATTTAAGCTTTTTTCTGCCTTTTCAGCTACTTTTCTATTTCTTTTTTATTTTTGCTAATTTCAGCTTTTTTAGCTAATTTACTAATTTTTGTGCTCATTTCTGCCTATTTAAACCTAATTCAGCAAATATGTGTTCTTTCTGGTTTGACTTGTTCTTGCATTTCAGCTATATTTCTGCATGTTTAAGCAAATTTCAGTGCTTTTTCAGCAAGTTCAGCAATAAGCACTGCATTTTGGCAGGAAATGCAGTTTTTCTAGTTTACATTAAATCTATAAATCCCCATTCAAAACTTTCTAAAAGCTCTTAAACTGTACAGTCATACCTAAAAAGATAAATATTAATGAAGCTCTTAATAATATTGAAAAAGCTGAATATCAGGCAATATTTTATTTCACACATTTTTACAAACACCAGAGTCAGACAAGAACTGAAATGCACAGATGGGACTAATTTGATCTTACAAAGCCGTGACATCTCATGCAGACAAATCCTTGTTCCGGTGCCAAAGTGACACCAGTGTGTGATCACTCATTTCTTCATTAGCACATGGGAGAAAAATATACAGCATTTAAAAACAAAATCTGTGATCAAAAGAAGCAAAGTGTTACAGTACAGCTGCACGGAAGACATTATCACCAAATGCTTGTTTAATTTTTTATTTATTTTCTTGCAGCAGGTTCACGCCTTCAAAAGAGCAAGAGTAACTGACTTGTGTTGGCATGTAAAGAAGAATATCCCTGAGCAAAAAACAGCAACGGTATATATATTTTAACCTCACCGATGTATTAGAAGGTGCAAAAAGTTGAGTTAGAATGAATACTGTTTAATTATACTAACAATATTAACCAGATCTTTTCACTTTTCTGACGGTGGGACGTAAACTGCAGTTTAAAATATCAAATAGCGTCGCTGAATTTTGCCCAAAGCCGTCGCGGTTGATTCAACGAGGTGACGTTACTAAGAAAGAAGTTTCAGTACATTATTCGTGCAATAGGCATCGTGAAAACAATGGCTGGTTGACTTCTTCCTGTAAAACGTTCCAACACTTGACTAAAAGCTGAATATATGCAGATTTTCGGAGAACTCGCTCACTTCTTCATTTTGTCGTTGAAAGCAACGCGCTCCGTTCGATGCAAAGGAGCGAACAGCGGCTGCGCAGGCTGGTTGAGCATCACGCCACTTCCGTGAAAACGTTTCTCATAGGCCGGCTGCGCGCCATCATACAGCATGAAATACTATGACAAAATAGCCATCTCATTCATATCAGTTCAAGTATTACGCAGAAGGATAAAAATAAAGCTCATAAAATAATATTCGCCTTACCAGCAGCAGCTTCCGTCTTCAAATCTGCTTAAAGTTCGGCCATTCTGCCGTCTTAAATCAGGCCTTAAACCGTTTGCTTGAGATACGCAGACGTTCGTTTCCCGTCAGTTCTCTTTCGGTTATTTGGAGCCGTGGACAGTGCTCATCAAGCAGAAATCAGAAATGGTAATGCTCCGTTCTTTCTGACGCAGAATCGTTTTCATGTGAGGAAACAAGTGAGCTATCCAGTGACTGAGGTGCACAGAAAGATCAACAGGACAAAAGAAATGAAACGCACCGAGCTTTGTAAAAGATAAAAACATTTGGTCATGTTCTAGACTTTAGTTGAATCAGGATACATGTGCGTGTGGATCCTGACGCGAGTGACATGGATTAGTGTTTTCTTACAGCACTGAGCAGGAAGGTGCAGCAGTGGATCTGGTTTCGCTCAATAAAAACCCAGCTCAGCTGTCACTCTCACGCGCCCTAGTCGTCCACAGTAATGTTTCGGAACAAGTACGCCATAGATTCTCCGTTGTGGATGCGCCGGATGGCCTCTGCCAATATCATGCTGACGTCCACGGTCTTGATCTTGGGACACTGGAGCTTCTGTACCTCGTGGGGTACCGTGTTTGTCACGACCACCTGAAGAAACCGTAAAAAGAAACTGGATTTAAACTTCATGAAGACCTTTTCTGGTAAAGAAGAAATACCATCACAAGCAGTCCAAAGCTTTTCACACAGCGTCCCACACAATGCAACACCAGGTCTTCTGGCTGTAGACACGAGTTTGGAGGTTTCCATTAAATTGTCACCATCTCTTTTAAAACAGGGGTTCTCAAACGTTTCAGGTTCAGGGACCCCCTCATAACCCTCATGTTTATTAAATAATTTTGCCTCTTTAATGCAATGGAAATATTTGTGTAGCATTAACACTTGAGACCTGTTCTTTAATAGTGATAATACAATTTTTATACTTTTAAACATGAGGTGTTTATCATTGAAGACGCACCTAATTAAGAAAAAAATAATAATTTCAACTTCCAAAAACTACAATTTTGAGAAAATTAACATCAAAAACCACTTTCAAACTTTACCTTCACATAATGCACATAAATGTATCGTCACTTCTTCAAATTATTACAGAAAACTCTACATAAAACTGAACAGAATCATAACAGCAGCAAGTAACAGGACTTCATTTGTAAACTGCTCGATGCTGGAAAGTAAATATAGTGATCGGGCTGGCAGGAGTGACGGGTCTGGGAAAAAAATTGAATAAAGTAGATGTGATTTCCTGCATTTTGGTGTATTTTAACAGGTTGTTAAACATCTACGTACTTGTAAAAATAATTTTTTTTGCAGACCTCCAACCATCGGCTCACGGACCCCCAATTTGAGAACCACCGTTTTAAAACATCCCCTTGTTAAAACCAAACCTTTAAACTAATCTCCAACCTGTTTTCTGAACACCTCACCATTTTTAGGAACTGAAAACAAAAGCTGTCCAAAGCGTCCATCCTTTGTTCCAACTCCAGTGCTTTTCATGACATGAAACCAGTTTACAGTTTGAATTTGAAAAACGTACCATCTACATTCTGTGTGAAGGAGAGAGCTGAACCATTTTTACTGAATTATTGAAAAAAAGCTGTCCACCAGTCTTTTAATTTGTCTAGATGAATGTAAGGACATTTTCATTAAAGTCAAAAATAAACTACATTTCATGTTGAAATAAAGAAACTCAAAACCTGAGGTCAACTAGTTTACACATTTTCACCTCGTCGATGGCTGATTCTTCTATTAGACGTGGAGCATCTGCAGAAAGTAAACCGTGCGTGGCCATAATATAAATCTTATAGGCTCCTCTCTCCTTTAGGATCTCTGCAGCAGCTACAAAGTCTCCTACGTCATCTATGATATCGTCCTGCAAGAAGAAGAAAGAAAAATCCATGTCTGGGTAAAATACTACATGTTAACTCATTACTGAGCTCTACGAGGTTCTGATGCTCTAAATCTAAACAGGCACTACTACTAGTACTAGCAGTACTACTAGTACTAGCAGTACTGCGAAGTATTACCACAATGATGGCGATTCTCCCACCCACGTCTCCAACCACAGTAATGGGAGGTTTCTCCTTGGCCATCATTACTGAAATGAAAAGCAGATCAGGTTACCTCCTCTTTGCTCGAGGTAAAGAGTCGAGCATGTCATAAAAGGTTATTGTAAGTAGATTGGGTACAATGGGTTTAAAAAAGGTGTTTAAGCCAATCACCATCCCAAATTCTTGGGTTTAATGAACTGATTTGAAGAAAAGCTGCACACACACACACACACACACACAAAAAAAAAATAAAAAAATCAAAGGATCAAATTAAAGACAGTGGTGCATGAACGTCTCCCTCCCCCATTCTACCCCTCCTACCTCTTAGGGAGAAAAAACTGAAATGCTAAGCATGCCATGCAAAGATCAACTGACAAAAGGATTTTCAGCCCAGGATACCCAATCTAAAAAAAATAAAGATCTGTAGAGACACACACACCTCAGGCCCAGGCTATAGAGGGAGCACAGCAGATTCTGCATAAAAACCAGATATGCAGCAGACGCTTTGATTTCACACACAACAGTGGCAAGCACTGATGAGTCTTCATACACACTTGCCAATGTTCTGGGATCAGTCCTCAGTCAAACTGGAGTGCTGCCAGTAACCACCCTGCATTTACATGCACACCACAAACATTTAAAAACCATCAGGTGGGCGTTTCATCTCGTTGTGACGGTGCTGTCTACTCCATAATGATGCTGCAGCTACGGATCATCTGTAAATATCTGTACTTTCATTTGCTAAAATAAAGCTGCATTAACACAAACGGATCGTTTCAAGTTGAATCCAATGGGACAGGCATCAAACAATAATATCTTACATGTTTATTTTTGGTGTCGTCAGTGAACACAACCATTCCAGACAAGTCTAAAAATCCTACTTATTTGTTATGGTTTCTGTAAACTCCCAGTGACTTCACTGCCCTCTAGTGTTCCTTCAGGGTATAAAAATGGAAATCATTATAAATGCATTGTTTATCCAATATTTGTCTGATCATATAATAATAATAATAATAATAATAATAATAATAATCTGACCCTACTTTTGTGAGTTTAGCTGTAAAGCATCAGCATCTTTTTGTAGGTTACTGGTTCTGGAGAGCTCAAGAGCTGGATGGTCTTCCAAGAAATTCACACTTTATTTTTTAAAGATATCAAAAAAATCCTCACGGGCATACTGAGAGGAACAGATGTCTTTTCCCAAGAAAAACTGCCATGTTTTAACTATTTTGTCGATTTAAAAAAAAAATACTGAAATGTGGACTTTTGTAAAATTAAAGGCCCTTAAGAAGCTTAAAACAATTTAAATTTATTTAAATGTAATATTTTTGATTCAGGCTGAGATACTTTTTAAAGATTGACTAGTTCACGGTGGACAAAATTATTTTTTAACCCCTAAGAAATGCTTATTGGTAAAGTTAAAGGACAATTTGAGGAGCTAACAGCTAGTATAAGTAGAGACAAAATGATCGTCAAAATTAACTTCTATTTCTCTAAACTGGGATCTTTCAAGAAGCTACCTGCAACAGGTAAGATACTGAACGTTTAACCTTTCCATAAAACCTCACTTCAAGCAATCTTTCTTGTCAAACTCTTAATTTGAAACATTAAACTAAATCATAAAGGGTTTAGATTTGATGCACCATCAAATATACTTTTAATAAATAACGTGATAAACAAAAACGAAAAAAAAAAACACCTTTTTAAAAACTGGTGTGCATGTAAACATAGACAATCGAAGGGTTTCAGGAAACATTTGACTTGGAAACAATCAGCATGCTGAGCTGATTGTGGCGTTTTAAAAAAACAAGAAAGTAGAAGCATGCCTTGCAGAAAAGTGAACAGTACAAGTTCCTCTGTATGAGAAAACAGATGAGTCATTTTTGGTGATTAATTACAAACAACAAAAGCCATTTTGTGAGAAGCACAGTTTTCAGAACAAAACTATATAGATAGTTAAACTACATCCCATAACTACCTAAAATGTTTGATCAGATGATCTAAAATCAATTAATGTCTCCAGAAAACAATAAGAACACTCTTTAATATAGATCATCTGCTGATAATCTAAAGCAGTGGTTCCTAACAGTGGTCCTTGAGGAACACCATCCTGTATGTTTTAGTTATTTCCCTGCTTTGACACAACCTGATTTGACTGAATGGGTGATTAACAGGTTTCTACAGAACTGGACGAAGTAATTAAATCACTGAATCAGGTGTGTTGGAGCAGGAAACAACTAAAACATGCAGGATGGTGTTCCTCAAGGACCAGTGTTGGGAACCACTGATCTAAAGCTCCTGACAATGTACAGTATGTATTTTAGGAAGGCTACAACTGTGGCAGCACAGTTACTGTTCCATTTCTAAATGAATAAAGCATCTCATTTCTAGTGCTGTTGTCACAGTAGCATCCTAAGAGCATGCTTTCTTTTCTTTTCACCACATGCAGTCATGAACACGGGTTAACTGGGTTGTGAAAAGTGGTTCTAAAATGATCGCAGCATGTGTTGATTGGCAAGATGAGTCCAGTTATTGAACAAAATCAACTCAAAAGCAAAACAATCATTGTTCTGGTTAGGTTTATGATTTCAAACCAAAAATAATAATAATAATAATCAGAGCACAAGAAAAATTCAGAGAGGGTTTTGACTATCTTGCAGAAGTAGCCGTCTGGAATCATGCAAAGGTGGAGCGAGCAAAAGATTGAGTCTATTTTTCATGCAAATTGTCTTGTGGAAGAATAATTTGTTTAATTAGTTGATTAGACTGAGAAAAGCTGCACTGAAAATGCACAAACTCCCCGTCCTGAATCCAGACTGTATTTCCACAAGACGCAAACTCTTCTTTTCTACACATGCACAAACCGAGGAACCATACGAAGAGGAATCATTTCAGAGTCAGGTGTGGATTCGTTTTACGTCGTACTTGGAAGCTCTATGCCGGGGAACGGAGCTTGTTGTTTGCCTGCTATTGTCGACAAAATACACACCACATTAACACAAAAAGCACAAATATGAGACATGACAAACATTCAGTGCCAAGACTTGGAAAATCCTCTCCTTAAAGTTGACAAAAATTGGGGGTTGGGAAATAACAAGGATAAAGCAGATTACATTAAAACAAAGTCTCCTTTTGGTTCCAGCTGTTTGTGAGCTGCAGTCATAGAGGAGGATTTTTTTCTTGTCAAGGTTGAGAATGAAAGCGCAAACAAGGATTGATTTCTTTAAACCAAATAATAGACACAAATAAGAGTCATTTGCCAATGACACGCTCATCTGATCTGATGGCTCTTTAGACTTGTCAAGACCAACACGGAAACTAGAAAAGCATTTTACGTTAGCTTAGAAGAAACAAAGATGCTCCTTTTATAGATTTACAGTTAGAATATGCGCTTTGCTGTGAATGTATAACGAGTAGAAGTAGTTTGGGTAATTAAATCATGCAATGGCACAAAAATCACGTTTCTGGAATATGGCTGATGGTATGAGTGAGAAACAGCACAATCATCAGCTCAAAGCAGGTTAGCACAGACAGGAGCTGTGCAGGTAAATGTTGGTCAGAATGGGCCTTTGCTCCAGCAGAGACATCAGTGTCGCTGCATTAAGATCACATGTATGATGCCTACACTTCACTTAAAGGAAGTCCAGCTGTTACAGGAGTTATCTCCTTATCATGGCTCACTGGAACACCAGGATAATTCCTTTTCTAGTTCGACAAGTCAAAAAGGTCTACTGGGAGTTACGCCTGGTAAATTAGGAACCAACAGTTTGTATTTTAATTGCTGACTTGAAACAAGGTACACAGAAGCAGACGCACAAGAAAAATAAGTCAAACTAGAGATGCACTGATCAGTCAGATGGTGACTGGCTGATCTGAAACACAACATGTTGATTCTTGTATTTTTCTCCAAGTCTCTGAACAAACCAGAACTAAGAGGCAATCAATAATGTGAATAAAAAATATGACTTTTTTTTTTTTCTTAGTCTGTGAATGCAGCAACAGCTAATTTAGGCTAGCAATAACTTTATTAGGTGCAGAAGTTTCCACCGAGTAAAGGCTAAAAGATTGCCACTTCAAATATATTTTTTCTTCTTTCAGCTGCTCCCTTCTTCAGGGGTCGCCACAGCAAACTGTCGTGCAAAGACTATTTTTACACCGGATGTCCTTCCTGACACAACTACAGACCATCGAGCTACCACAGCCCTCTGTGTGGAGCAGAGAGCTGCTATCTAGGGCGTCTGGGGGAGCAAAAGGTGGGGGTTAAGGGCCTTGCTCAAAGGCACAGAGTGAGGCAAATGAGGGTGGAGGCAGACGTGGGTGTTTCGCCTTTCCCACCCACATTTTGATGTTGTTGGTGCGGAAGTTGAACCAGCGATCTTCCGACCACAGGCCCACCACCTCTAACCTCTGCGCCACCACTCCCGGAACACTTCAAATATTCGTATGTTTAAAAATAAACTCACAGGAAGAACAAGAGTAAAATGACAGAAAAATACTTTCTCCACTGTTTAAGTTTGATTTTGGACGCTGCAACCACCGAGCTCTTGGAGAAAATGGAAAAAGTTGTGTTATGTCAGATAATTTTTTGGTTAAAGGTTATGGATGTTTATATTGTGCTTTATTATTATGGCTGAGAACATTCTTCCTGATTGTCCCACAAAACGCTCTTATCTCAAACTGAAGGGATGCTCGTGAACCGTAATTGTGAACACCAAGAGTGCTGTGTGAGAAGAGACTGCAGCTTCAGCCTGCAGCTGAGCTGGGAACGTTTTAGAAGTGAGCAGATAAAACTGCTCGCTGCCCATTTCTGTAACTGGTCTTCGTGTGTATACATTTATGATACGTTTATGTATGTAACCTGTCCTGAAATCTACCCTTGCGAGTAAAATGCCAGTTAAAAGTCTTCACCTGCCATAAGTTGTGGTCATTTTGAGTAAACGTCAGAGAATGAGAATTTCTCCAACATTAAATTTGGTGCAATTCTGTTTTGAGGTGTGCAACAAAAATGACACCATAGTCTGTCTTTTAATAGATACACTGTAATATTTTTAGTTAGGTTTAATTTGAGCAAATACATCCATTTAATAATCTAGAAGATGTTATTTTCAGATTTTTAGTGACTGAAGAGAGAAAGCTCTGGAACCTGGTAAGCTTTTAATTATGAACAAATTTACGTTTTGATCTTAACCAAAAATAAGAAAAAAATATTCATTCTTTTATTTATATTTCTTAGAGAGAAATCAGAAATGAAAAAAACTGGAGCCACCAGGTCAGAGCTGAACAAAAATCTGAATCAGCCAAGAAGAGTCTGATCAGTGCATCTCTACTTCAAAGTAAAAGGACAACGAACAGCTGGTGCTTTGTGTCTACATTACTTCCATTACACAATATTAGAATAAAGAGCACTAAACAAAGATGGGAGATCTTACAAGGTAGCTCCAGTCCTGTGTGTCCTGTGGTGTTGCGCACAGACGGTGGAGAGTGTCTCCCGTCGGCCATGTCAGACTCTGAACACTGCGCCTCACCGTGGATCACAGCCAGACCCAAACGGAGCCGCTCTGCGTATGACTGAGCCCTGCAAAAACACAGAAACCCACAGAGACGGCTCTGAATAAAAGGATGAAACGGAGAAAGTGCATTTATTGTCTAGCTGCTGGCATTACGTTGTGTTCATTCTAAATTGAAATGTATGTTAATCTTAGTGCTATAAAGGGGAAGGGAAGTCTGAGAGCGTCATCACTGTATGTTCCCATACAATGAAAAATGAGTTCTCTGCATTTACCCTGTCACACATGAGATACATCCAGGTGGAGCAGGGGGCAGCTATGTAAACGTCCAGGGGAAGAGGAGAAACAAACACGAAATCCACCACTGTATTGTTTTATTACCTTTTAGCTGCAGCGGGGGACTTCGCTACAATTATGGCATTTCTGTAATCAGGAATCTAATAAGATAAAGGAAAACAGATATTACCTATTAAATGATTCATTAAGAGTCAAACTCTACATTTTGGAACATTTGAAGACACAAATATGGCTGAATGGGTTTATCACCTCTTCTTGGATGTACTGGATGAGGAACGGGGAGGCACGCAGGTTATCCACTGGAAAACTGAAGAAGCCTTGGATCTCCTTCTGATGCAGGTCCATGGTGATGATGTGCGTTAGTCCTTCAGAGTACAAAACACACCACTATAGTTTCATTAAAGAAACTTGTAGCAAATAGCTTCTTGAGTTTTGCTTTGATGCTTTTACCTGCTCTAGCCAACATTGAAGCTAACAGTTTGCAGACTATAGAGCCCCTCTTTCTCATTTTGCACTGCTTGCTGTACGGGAAGTAGGGAATAACTCCAATGATGTTCTTCGCACAAGACGTCTTGAGGGCATAAGCCATGATAAGAAGCTCCATGATGGCCGTGTTGACATCTCTGGTCACAGGAAACATGGGAAGAATAGAAAACAGTTAAGTTTAATTAGAAATACTTACATTAGGTGGGAAAATTAGTAGCAGGAAAAAACAAAAAAACACCTCACCTTGGTATGGTCTGGATGATGAAGATGGTTTGCCCACGAACAGATTCTTTCACATCCACTCTAGTCTCTATTTTAAAATAAAAGAAAACAAAACAGGGTTTTTTTTTTATTCTTTCTGATGACATTTATGTTCAGGGGGAAATGTTTAAGTTATTTACACATGCACTGAACATTAATATTTTACTCAGTTAGAAGAAAATATAATTTTAAAGGAAAATGCACAAGAGCCATACATTATTGAGCCAAACACGTCTTTGTATTTGCAGATATTTACTTTCTGATCTAAAAACTAACAAACAGCTTTAGTTCACATAAGATTCAGTTCACTTTTAATTTACGGTAATTATAATTTGACTGAGAGCAGCCACTTGTAACCTTTTCAAGTGGTCTTCATCAACAATTTCTGCAGGCCTCTGTAGGTCTTTCATACATACATACTGTATACAGACATACTGTATACAGACACTGTATACACACATACGTATATATATATATATATATAT